ACCTCTCTTTCTTTTCACACCACGCATAATGTAATGATAAAAATTAGGAAAAAACGCTGAGGAAATATAATGTTTGGTTTGCTAGCGAGCGATAACTGATTTGAAAATAATTGCACATGCGCGTGAATTGAATGAACTATGACCCGTACAATCTCGATTTGCATATTGTCAATCAAAGTCCTGTTATTTGATTACTCATGCAAATTAGGCAATTGGACATAAACATTGCCACGTGTGAGTGTTTTTTATTTTTAATCAGAAAATAACCAGCAATTTTAACGGTGTTCTAATAAGAATTCATTGGTCAAATTTTCACAGAATGTTCTTTAGATAAAAATCTATATAAAAAACGAAAAAAAATATTTTTGATTGAAATTCACAAATAAACTGCATCTCTACCTTAATCTCATCAAAAATCAGTGAAAATAAATTCCAAGCAAAAGGCCCAAAAAGCCTTTTCAGCGAAAATTAATTCCAGCGAAAATAAAATATTCCACAGTACTACACGCTAATGTAAACCTCAACTTGCAAGTAAATTCATTTCAGTAAAAAAAGCCCTCAAACTTATTTTATAATAATTTTTAATTTATAACAACAACAATGAAACTCCCACAGCACGTATTGGATTCAGAGAAGGGTCTAGAAGTGATAATGTGTTTTCCTCAACCAATATGGCATGAGGGTAAGGTAGGGGTGTGGGTCATCTTTATTTTAATTATAAAGATGCAGCAGTGTGCTTGAGAAGAAACAAAATCAACTCTTTCATTTCAGAATTTTTTGAGCATGAATGAATCATACAAAGTTTGTTAATTAAAATGATGTATGCAAATCAATATAAACGATGCTGATTCACATGCACTTCAAACGTTGACCCCCAGAAATACTTAGTTGTCTGATGACTGTACATCACATGGTAGCAATCGGCCAATGTGAACACTCCATTGCAGTGCATGGTATTATGATAGAGCAAACATGCATATGTTGATCAGTTAAAATAATTGCAATTGGGCTCATATTTGCCTCAATTATTACCCCCCCCCCCAATTATCAAATGGTTTTTCCCTTAACTATCATCAAATTAAAGTGGAGACAGCTGCAATTCTATACATCTCCCAGGCAAACATTAACCAATCTGTCATTTTGAACAGCAGCAATTAGAACAAGCAATGACGGCCTAAAATGGAGACTGGCCTCCCTGAACGGTGAATGGTAAAGTCAAAAGCCAAAAAAATGGTATCTGTAAAGGCATGGTAAGTTTACAGCTGTTTACAAAAAATTTTGGAAACGAAAAATACGACCATCCCTAAATCTCATTGATTCATTACACTGTTTCATGCCGAGATACTATGTGAATTATATATAATAAAATTAATATTGAAAAATTAATATTACAAGTATGTTGTTACGTCATTAGCTATTTGAGAGAGATCTGATACAATGTTTTAATAAGTTATATCATACCAACTGTATTACTTCGAAAATAATTACGAAAGTTGATATTCGTCAGTTGAGTCATGCAAAGGTCACATTGATTGACACGGACAACTTACCATTCTGCAAATATCTCTTCGTGTTTCTTTCCTCAACTGTTCCATCTCAAGAATATGTTTGTCTTGTATCCATTTATTTTCGGCAATCCTCCTCCTTTCTGCATCACTAATCTGGTTGAACTCATTTTCTATTTTCCGTTTACTCTCTTTCAATTCGAGGATCTCCTGTTGCATTTTACTACGCTCCACTTCAAATTTTTTCTTTACTTCGTCTTGCGCATCAGCTGCTATTCGATGCTTCATCCTTACCAGTAAATCCTCTTTGGTACGGTGTAACTCAGATTGCATTTTTCCTAAGGAGTCCTCTTTTTGTTTCACAATTTTCTTCACTTCCATCTCGTACTGTCTCGTTAACGTATCCTTCTGTGCCAACAACTCGTTAATTTTCTCTTGGTGTAATTTATTCCTCAAATCGCTTATCGCCATCATTGCTCTTTGGTATTCCTTTTCTCTGGCCGATCTAATATCAACGACTCTCTCGCGTTTAATTTTCTTGATATTACTCCGTTCCTGTTCAAGATCCGATTTCAATTTTGAGATATGCTTCCTCATTTCATCATTACTTTTCTTCAAGCTCATTATTTGTAAATCTGGTGTATTCACCATCAGTCTACTTTCCGGCGTTTTTTCCCGCTTTTTTTCCATGTTTTATTCTTAACTTTTAAAAAAACCTGATTACTAACATTTCTCTGAGCTGTGGCGGCGGCGGCGTGTTACCTGGCAGTGTTGCGGAGTTCAAGGCCTTGATCTCACCCTATTAAAAGAACATTTGAATCACTATTAAATAAACGCTCGAGATGTTCCTTTTAAAACATAACAATAAGATGAATACAATTGACAATTCAATGATTTTACAATGCATTGTGTAAAGCACTTCAGCCTAGAAAAAAACCACAAACAAATTATATTATGCTTTAGTAAATATTACTTTTTTTTATGTGATCGTAAATTTTATTTTCAACACTATAGATTTAAGATGTACTCAAACTTTTGATTTCAACTTGAAAAGTGAAAGTACAATGTTTAATACAGATGCAATAATACGTATCAGTGTGCAAAGCAAATAGTGTACGGTGAGTGCAGTTTAACAATTGCTGACACTAAACCACAGATACAAAGTATGTCCAACAACAAGACATATTGAGACAGCGACAGACAGGTTGATTAGCTTATACAACTTTAGCAACTCATGTGCGATATTCTTAACATGTAGCTGTCTGATAAAGCTTGATTGAACTTTGCAAGTCTGCTTGACACTATCACAGTAAGAGATTTCGAAAAAAATGTCAATGTACACTGAGGATAGCCAAAAGTAATTACCGGTAGAACATTTACAGTGGGCACCAACAAAAAAATGATTAGAAAAACAGCTTTCTCCCTATTATTTCCTATGCAATATTGCAATATTTTAAGGAAAATCGCCAGAGGTGTAAGTTTTAAATTGAATTTGGCACTTTTCCAATCCCAACAAGCAAACACTCCTGGACACATTTTCAGTAGGGATATGCTAAATGAACAAAATGAAGTCAGATTTTGAAGAAACAAATTGCAGAAAATGTGAAAGAGGTAAAATATTGATTATTCTACACTTGATCACAAACCACAATTTCATTTCAAATATAACTCCTGTCAACTATAGTGAGACTTTCCATGTACAAATGAGTATACTTAATTTCTATAGTCAAAACAAACACTGCTAGCAATGTTCCTAGGGAAATTGACAGGGAGATACAAATGTAGTGGTTTTTCTGATCAGTATAGTTCAATTATGATGTGATCACATGGTTATCAATGTTTAGGGTATTTTTTTTCACTTGGTTTTTCATTGACTCGTGTGAGCTGTACAACTGTTGGTGGATTACAACAAAAACCAATATACCATATTTGCTCTATTAATAGTGCATACACCTACGTAAATTACAGAAGTGTTTGTATGTTCAAAATAAGTCATATTACAATGATTAACTATATAACAAATGCAATTTTTGGTTTATATGCTCTTCTATTGGAGATGCGCTTCTAATAGAGCAAATACAGTAGTCACTATTATTAAAGTGAATTTCAGCAATCTATTTTTGTTCCAAGGTTCTCTTGAATTGGCCAATGGGTGTTCTAATGAGATCAAAGTTTATTGACTGGTTTCCCCCTTGTTTTTTCTCTTCTATTGGAGATGCGCTTCTAATAGAGCTAATACAGTAGTCACTATTATTAAAGTGAATTTCAGTAATCTATTTTTGTTCCAAGGTTCTCTTGAATTGGCCAATGGGTGTTCTAATGAGATCAAAGTTTATTGACTGGTTTCCCCCTTGTTTTTTCTCTTCTATTGGAGATGCGCTTCTAATAGAGCTAATACAGTAGTCACTATTATTAAAGTGAATTTCAGGAATCTATTTTTGTTCCAAGGTTCTCTTGAATTGGCCAATGGGTGTTCTAATGAGATCAAAGTTTATTGACTGGTTTCCCCCTTGTTTTTTCTCTTCTATTGGAGATGCGCTTCTAATAGAGCTAATACAGTAGTCACTATTATTAAAGTGAATTTCAGTAATCTATTTTTGTTCCAAGGTTCTCTTGAATTGGCCAATGGGTGTTCTAATGAGATCAAAGTTTATTGACTGGTTTCCCCAGTGTTCCCCGTATACTGCTGAGCTTTTGAATGCTTACATGCCAAAATCAACCCACCACAACCCACCACCCAAAATTTAAATTACCCCCCCCCCTATAAGTAAGTATATTATCTATGACAATTAATTTCTCATTTTTCCCTCAAAATGCAAGCAAGTTTCCACTGAAGTAAAAAAGTACCCAGCTATGTGGCATTTTGGAGACATGCATAAGACATATAAGATGTGCATCTCTATCAGAATCAAATATGTCAGTCGAAAAGCATATTTCACTTGTCAGAATGATTTTGGGGATAGCAATTATCATTGTGAACTTAAAATACTGTAGAATACTTTTCAGTGAAAATAAAATCCAGTGAAATAAATTCCCTTAATTCCAGCTAAAATAAAGTATTTTACAGTAGCCAGATAAGTTCTTGCCATGAAATTGAGTGACGTGCAAATACCAAAGTTCAATCCCTGTAAAATGTTGTGTATGTTAGTGCATGTACCAAGAACAAATACGGTATACTGAGTGTATACCTGCCATATTTATTCCATCATATCAACACCACAACATTCACAGAATGATCTAAAACCCTGTGTATGTTCATATGCACACACCATACCGCAAGCGAGCGCAAAAGTGAGAGCACCATCATACCCAACACACCTGTGACAGTGGTACCCATCTAAATCCTAGAGACATTCTTTACTAGATCAATCATCCTCAAAAGTTCAACTCTTTCTCCAACTTGAAATATTTTTAGTCCAGTGACGGTGCATTCCAGTTCAGTTAGTTATTAGTGACTATATTGCAATCTTTTATCATGCATCATATTACAGTCATTGATATCCTTGACCAGAACACGGATAATCCTCCAGACATGCTGAGAAGAGAATGTTTTCCATCCTGTATTATTAATATTTATTTTGAGATGAATCGCCAGAAGAAAAGAAAACATAATAAATACGAGACCACCCTCTCTAATATATGCACGATGGCTTTTTTTTAAATGCATATGCTGTGTGTGATATATTGCAACCGATTTTACAGTAATTTACACCATTTAGTCTGGTCAGGTTTCCACGAAGCACATTCCAAGTTTAAATAAAGAAATCCATCGTATTATTTACACTAATATTTGGCAGACCTGATTGTAAATCTAGTACTATATGATACAGTTCTAATATTTGACCTGTGAGAAATCGGTCATTGGCCTTCTGATTCACTGATGACCAGTACCTCTGGAAATTCACAGTATACTTGTCATCCCATAGCGACCAATATGTCATGTACTATTACATTTGAATCTAGACTCATTGACTGCCAGTTTTTCAACCGCCTAAAAAATATGCAGAATATATTTTGATATGGCATTTTCCAGACAGTGAATTACAAAGTAGTTTGTGTTCAGATTTAGTGTTTTTTTCTATAGTGACAGAATAAATAAACTTACGGACAACGTAGTACTTAGCAACACACGAACTACTAGACTGAACGAAGGTGGTGAGGAAAGATGCTAATTGTTAAATCTTAGCGGACTAGTTCACGTTAAGTCCACGAGAACGAACCCTCCATATTCATATTTTGTTCTCAGCTATGATAATTTTATACAACAATCAAATAAAATATATCAACAACATACATGCAAATTTGTGCTCGCAAGCACCTGCCCCAGTGACTCGCCAAGGGCGATTGCTTGTCACTGACTGACACTATCTCTCGCAGACGGTCACGAACTAACACGGCGATTCTATGCAGTGTATATGCAATTTATTGTGCACAGCAAATTAACTAGGGAAATTATTTCGAGTGCTCCAGCGCGGTTGTCTTTTAAGTTGTATTCAATCAGATGTTAGCGTTGGTTTTAATTGGAAACAAGTCATCAGGAACGAACATCGATCAAGACGAAATCAAGATCCGCGATTTCTAAGTTAGTAATCCGTTATGTTTTGAACGTGTATTAGAAAATACCGTGTTGAGTTCAAGGGCACGACTGTGAATAATCGCAAATGAGGCGTAGATCGCCGGAAAGGAGACGAAACTGCGTGAAAATCAAATAAATTACCTTCTCCTAGCGTCTTCGATGTTCCTTCTTTGGCTGGGTGAGCTGCTCTGAAGTATGGGACACGTCACACCATAAACAACAGGGGAAATTCCCTCCGCCACAAACAAATAGTGCAAATTACACTCTCTCGGCGTTTAATGGGCCAAATTTTTCCTTCTATATTAACAATTTACTCATTAATATATTTATATTACCTCAATAATACTGTTTTTTTCGCATTCAAATGAAAACCGTCGAGATGGCGGATGGTTATATGACAATAGACCTCATCACAAGAGGCGCATTGTTTGAAATCGTTGTTTTCTGACAAGCGTCAACCAAATACTACTACCCGGACTGTCAAGTTCATACCACCGACCACAGTCCCTCAACACCGGACTGTGTCCGGACACATGGTAAATTAACAATAACTTTGATTCTTGATTTAAACCTGACAATTATTTGAAGATTTGTTTTCTTTTTTTTATATATATGACAATAAATTTAAAAAGATCTAAAAAGAAAAGTAAAATTGGCTTGACGCCAAAGTTGATAGAGTGTGTACGCCTGGGATGGTAATCAGCGTTTTTAACGGACTAAACAAGTTGAAAAGACAAGCACTGACGAGAAGATGTAATACAATACGTGTGTTTGTCATTTAAAAAAACTTAAACTAAGTCGTTTCTGACACCCTGTGGTTTGTTTGTTATATTGGGGGGGGGGGTGTTCTACAACAATATGTCTCCATTCTCTCTACTGAACTCGTACAAGTGTACTTATATTTTACAGTAGTGTGTTATCAGCTTGATGGCTGTTTTTGGCAATGAACGTGACGCGAGTGTCCTGGTTACATGTAAAATAAATATTTAGCGTTCTCGTCAATGACATTATTTGTCGTATCCATAGTAGATATTAGCCTGAGCATAGACATTATTCTTGAAATGATATACCCATGGACCCCTCACAAACACACACAAACCTCCGTGCCTGTGCAATACTAGTTAAAGGGATGTAATACAGGTGTATACAATTAAGTGGGAAACTTACGCGATGGTAATAACCACAAATGACCATATTCGAGTTGACTGCGGTGTGTAAGACAATTGTTATTAGGGTACACACCTTAATTGCCCCCGGTCATTTACTTTTGTTTTTCATTAAGCTCCATTTGTTTTTCATCTGTTAACCCTTTTCGTCCTTTCCGACGGATGTTATGTGTTAATAAAATTGTATTATATAGTATTTTTTGACCACTGTAGTGATGTTGAAACATGCTTTTGACCTTGGCCTGTTTGCCAGGATAGGGTTTTACAACGTGATATATCCGTCGCCGAAAGCTTTTTGTAAATTGTAAATACTAATCCCAGTGATAGATCTAGCTGTGTTTTAGGGTAGTCACGGCTACTACCTATTTCACGAAAAAAAAAATAATGCTGCATTTTTCGCCTGGATAAAAATACAAAATGTTGATTCCAGTAGACATTGAGAGTGTCCAAACGCTGCCAGCATGGAAAAATTCCGAAATGTTTATTTTTCGCAAGATATATACGTTGGCGCCACAGTCACTTGTAACAAAAAAAAGAAAAAAACAACTTTTATCAAGCATAGAGTTTCCCGGCGTATGAAAAATGAGAGGGACAATATCCCGATATTTGATAAAAGTCGTATCTATATTTATGTTATAAGCGACTATGATCAAACTAGTGCATTTTAAAATGAGTTATTATTATTCTACGGTACCACTGTCATTAGTATTTCCGTTATTATTTGCAAATTCATGTGGTATTGGATATGTGTGTCGGTAAACGTATCCTGTAAATATGTTACATCTAGTAGTATCAAAGGAAATCGAAATATTACTACTGGGCAATTTATCACTACGACGCAATAAAACAAAAGTATCACGGTAAACAGTTGTGAGGGCGCTCATAATAGTGTTAATTGGTCGGATAAAACAAATAACGTACAGTAAATGGTTATTCGCTGGGTTTACGGTGGAGATGCAGTTTACCTGACAGGTATTTTAATTGAAACCAAGATGACGTCCCTTGTCCACAAAACTATATATTTTCGGAAAGCTTATTGTATGAATTTTAATATTTTGTTAGTATTTTTTATTTATGAACACTGTAGTTTGAAATATGCAAAAAAATGTACTTTTTTTAGTCAAAAGTGATTTAAAAAAATAGCTTCTAAACCATGTTTCTGTTTCCTGTCAAAATTGGTTTATGGGTACATCTGTTTACTATGAAGAAAGTGCCGTCTTGAAAACTGTCTACCAGTTGTCAATTATGCAGGGCAGCAGCTCAAATTTCACTACTTCAAGTTTATGCATAAATTAACACCCAGGCTAGTTGTCTGTGATTGTTGTAACACTGTTCAACCAAAAACAATGCCCCGACGGCGTTTTGAAGATAAACACATTGTCAATCATTTGCGAAAATTTCAAAACAAAAGGTCAAAGCGTCTAAAAAGTTCTAAAAAGAAGCTGAGATAATTGATAATTTGCATAACAATTCACTCAGTAAGAAGTTTGCTCATGCTCATAATTAAAATGGCTGTAACAGTTCCAAATTTAAATGTTTTATCGTTTTGTTAAAAATTAAATATAGTGCATAATATGGAGGATCCCGTCATTTCTTTTTTTTCACCACGTTTCTTTTTTATTATTTATGTACATCCTTGCTAAATCTTGCTAAGCATTCAAAAGAGATAATGTTTGCACCTGTTATCTATATTTTAAAATCGTTTTTTGAGTATGTTCCACTATTCACAATTCTACAAAATTTTAACAGTCTATAGCCAAGACTGTTTGGATAATAAAAAGTAAAAAAAAAAAAAAAATCACTCCTAAGTGCCCACAAACCTGCATCTCTACCTTAAGCCCACTTTTTTCACTGATAAGTATAATCCACTAATTAAATTTAATTCAAGTGAAATGTAAAATGCAATAGAACTCATCGTTGCCCAGACAAATTTGTGACCTTGAAACATATATGGAATATGCCCAAAACATCAAAATAAATTATTAAATGTTAGCGAAAATAAATGATGTTACTCTATACAGACACAGTAATTCGATATAAACAATAACTCTAACAGTAAAAACAATACACTATACAAATAATTTGCATCCCATGCCTCCCCTCCCAACACTACCATGTGTTGCGCCCTCTATTGGTCATTACGAGCACATACACACACTCAAGTTGACGGCTCGCGTGTCGTAAGGTCATATCAGTGTTATATTGGGTACTTTTAAATCAATCGATCAATGATCTTGTTAAAAAGAAAAAGTTAATTTTAACTTAAAAGAGCACAATCTGGACCAATGAATATGCAAACGCTGTTCGCGTTCTTTTTATTTGCGTCACGGGACGTCTTCCCCTCGACTACGGGACATGGTCGTTTCCAGTCAGGCGTTCTATATATCCGAGACTGAAAAAAGACGGCCAATTGCACGGAAGTTGTTTTTCAATGTACTACTTCCGTGTGGCCACACGCAACATTAGATGTGGATGTACTAGTATATTTCGCGCGAAATGTATCAGTTCCTTCTCCACGAAGAAAACCACTATAAACTGCACACGGGGAGACATACACCATTTGTTTTCTCTTCCCTTATGAACCTAATCACTTCTATGAACCGAACACCGTCTTTAGTCCAAGTTCTACATTGACACAAACACCTATATAAACCTAACACCCATTTCAGCTCATTCTCAACGAAGACACACTTCTGTAAACCGAAGATCCCATTCATTTCTTTCTCCATAAACACAAATGCTTTCATAAACCGAGCCAACCTTTCAATAGATTCGCAGATCTTATTGTGCTTTACTTGCTTATCTATAAACCGAACAAATTTGTCATTTCCTTCTCCATAAACACCTCTATAAACTGAACACCCCTTCCAGCCAATTCTCCACACAGAAACTCTCTATAAGCAAATTCTCCATCCCAAAGGAACTTTTAAAACAGAACGAATACAAATTCTGTTGTGAAGATGTTAGTGTTATTTCTGAGTTTGGGACTTAGAGGGCGATAGTTCAGTATTTCGTGCATGTAATGGTCGTAATGGGCAGGCTTGGTGCTGCAACATAAAGCTCCATATTCTTGCGTGTCGCGTTGCGTTTGATGCCATGCAACACGCAATTCGAGATTCGCACGTCTCGAAACGCAATGGGGTCTTCACTACAGTTACAAATTACAGTATATCCCTCTGTTTTAAAAACAACTTTTTGCAAGGGTCGCATTTGATAACACAACACAAAACAAACTTGGGTTCACGATTCATTCGGTTTTTTTTTTTTAAACAAGTGTAAAATAATCATACTTTTCAATTTGTTATCACAAAAATATCTATTCAGTCTAATTGCAGTGTGATTCCTATAGTTTCCAATGTGTTTACGTGTCGTACGTGTGTTGGTAAAAACAACACGGCTTCATGAAAATAAAAATGCTGGCAATCAGCCATCATACCGTATATATGTTTGTTCTATTGTCCCATTAAATTGCATAAGGGTGAACGTTATCAACGGCCTTGGCGGTGCGGCTGTGTAATAGAACCGTCACATATCACACATATAGTACGCGGCAGCAATAAAATGTATTAGGGTTAGGGTCTTTTTATTGGCTAAACAGTAATTCAAACAAAGTTATTTTCTCCATTTTTGTTTAACCACAAATTCCACTAGTTCATAGTTGACGGCTTGTGTACGTCATTCGTATTAAAGCGGGAGGGTCGTCACCTGCGCACGCGCAGGAATTGAGTTCCCTCTTTAAGCCAACGGCATGACCGATTTGCAGATAAATAAACTACTAGTGACGGATCTCGGAATCGAAGAAGCAAACAAATACAACTTAGATTGATTTAATACAGCGCACTCCACCTAAGAATCGCTCATGTGGGTTTCTTAAGTAATGACGTGACAGGTTTTCGATGCTAAAAATGGTGGCGCGACAAATGAAACAAAAAACGATAAAATGGAATGAACAAACGGTGCGTATGGCTGAGTCCGGAAATGTTACAAAGCTATTCCGATATTAACGGAAAGAGCTGTTGGTGTTAAAAAATAATTCATAGCATCATCGGGAAGTGAAGTTTTCATTCCGCCCAGAGTTTATCGATATTGGCGTATGAAGGTAAAGGAAAACAACTTCTGCGCATCAAACTTAGCGCGGTACCATCATGCTGAGTAGACATTAAAAAGAGTGACAAATCAACACTAATTCTTCAATCTGTGATCTCGATGGCCACAGATCATGGAAGCCATGCAAACAAATGATGCCGCAGCAACAGCAGAGACGACGGCGATAGCTCAAGTTTCCAGTGACTTTTTTCTACTACCTTTTTTTTTTCTGGCATTCCAACCACGGTGGGCCTTAGTGGCTGATTTTGATGTGGAGTATGATGGTTTTTATATTTCAAATTATAGGGGCATTTTTATTCGGGCTCCTATGTAAGATGACCTAGGAACAACCTAGAAAAGCCAACGAAAATCAGGATACACTACTAAAACTTGAGGGGGAAAGAGAACATAGAGAGCAAAATTAAAATACTAGTAATTGTGAAATGTACCACTACAGTGTACTTGTCTCTGTAGAAACAACTTTTGAAGGCGATAATATCAGGGGGAGCTCATGGGGCGATATTCCGAACTATATGCATATTTAAAGCAAAATAAACAGTCGACGGACAATAAAGAAATGACTCATTTATTAGAAATAAATAGACAAATTAAACTATTGTATACAAAATTATATTCTGCTAATAAAGTCATTCTTGGAGAGAAGTTAATAGTCACACAAAAAGATGGAATTCATGTCTTTGATCGCAAAAACTGGAAAAGATAAAAAAAAAATGGCATGGTACGCAATCCATAAGTCCTGTATCTTGAACCCGATCCGAAAAATAAAATGATGTGTGTATCAAGGTAGTCTCAGCGTATGTACTAAATTTGAACAAAATTCATATGCTACTGAGATCCGGTTCCGGAATGGTCAAAATAATATATTTTGATACATTTTTGGCTTTAAAATAGCTGCCATTCTGGTATATTGAATCACAAATGTATGTGCATATGTGCAATACGATGCATAATATATGTTTGAACTTCGATCCAAGAATGTGTGAGATACTACGCGGACCGTGACACGGACGGACGGACCCACGGAAGCACGTACGCACTTTGGTCAATCAATAAGTATCCGGTTCGGCGGTCTTCGGGAACTGAAAAGGTTTGCGATATCACAGTTTATTCATGTAGCAATAATGGTTCATCCCCTAGGATCGGTTATTAAAAAAATAAAAAATCATTTGTAACGGTAAAAGGTAAAGTAAAACAACGGGAGACTAATTATGAATTTTAATTGGATAAACAAATTCACCGCAGGTGGTCCCACTGGATGGCAGACAATCATGCATCATGTTTTAATTAACTACGGTGGTAAGATAATTTTTTCTTTGGCATTATAATGTAGGGCAACTGGAAAATGGGTAACACTTACACGGGATGAACCTATCAATCCTGATGAAATAGAACATCAATAACTCTGGTACAACACATATAGTGCATGTACTACAAATACGCATATCATGTACAACACAGAAAATTTAATTATTCAATGGAACAATATAAACATGTAAAAAATGTGTAGCATTTTTGAGAATGAATGAAAAAGGCATTTAGCCATCATGTAATGTTTTCACAATGAACAATGTCGACTGTCGACAGTTCTCAGTTCTCATTGCCTAATTTGTCACTATCCTCGGGGCGGACATCCGGGCATTTTCTACCGCCTGGCAACCCTCGTGGTGAAAACAAAGACCAAAAACTCGCAGAAAACGGTACTTTGCGATGGTTGATGAGAGTCCCCTGAACAGTGTAACAAGATTAGCCCTACGTGTGTAACATATATGAATTTGGTTGTTCAGGATTACTTCAAAGTTGAGTTTGTATTGTTTTCTCGAATTTTCACCGGCTCGACCGGCGTTCCGCAGCAGCGCGAAAAGAGCCCATAGAAATGCATGTACAGTGGTGCGCGTCTTAGCAACGTGGAACGTCTGGTGACGTAGCTCCGCCCCCGAGGATACTATAGTTATCAGTAAACGCTGAATGCCTTTCCAAGAAACGCCTCCGGCCTTCGCTGAAATGCCTGCGGCCTTTCTGATTAAGTATACCGGTACTAACAAATTAGGCCTGGGGACTCTCGACAGTCTAGGAACAATGCAACTTTTTATATGCAAGAAATCCTTGTAACTGTCTTGTGTGTACTGCTGCTCGAATAATATAATGGAAGTTTGAAAAGCTGGTTTAAAGAGAACTCAAAATATTGCCAACAAAAAAATAAAATGCCAGTGCAGTAATTATTCAAAGAAATAGATAGTTTGTCATTTGCGGGTGATCGTGTTTTCAAATTGTGTATAGCGCCCCCGGCGGTAATTTTTGCTGCTACTTATTCATAGTTCAAAAGGTAAAAAATCATCCAGACAAATAACAAAAATAGTATTCTATATTTGATCACTTTGAAGTGAAAACATAAATAAGTTGTTAAAATTGTCAACCATATCTGTTATTCCGTGTCAAATTTCTTCGCTTTATCAACAATGTTATCATAAAAGTTCGTCAACCCCTCTTACAAGGGCGTGCGCAGCAGAAGGTCTCCTCGTCATGGGAGGTAAAAGAGGGCGTGGCTGTCTAATTTAGACAGATGACACAAACCTGAAATTATGATAATCAGTAATAAAAAT